TGTCTTTGAAGAGTACAGTATGTTTCATGCTGGTTGCCTGTGGATGGCTAATTGAAGAGTTGAAGTGTTTACAATTACTATTGTGTTGCTGCAACTGTGTTATTAAAAACAACACCTCATTTTTATATCTGCTCACAGAGACTATTTCGACTCCAATGCTGCATCTCTGCGTTATTTTCAAATCTGGGTTGAGCTGTCTGCTATTTGGACATCATGAAAATGTTCAAAGAGAAAAGAGACAATTGGTGCTGTCTTGTAAAAAATATTTGTATGTATCTCAATCAATCAGTCTAACTTGAAGTGGGTTTTCACAGTATTTCACAAAATCAAACTACCATGGGACAGAATAAGCCCAATACAAAAGACAGGGTAGTGGGAGTGTGGAACAGGCGAAGCAGACGTTGCTGAAGCAGACACTGGCCTCTTTCAAGAAACGGCAGGGTGAGATCATGAGATCAGTTAGCTACTAACTGCTGTACCTGTCTGACTACTTGGGCTGAAAGGCCTTCTCTTGTTTGCAACCTTTCTTATGTTCTAAAACAAAATAACTGAAGATCTGGAAAAGTACACGTGATATAAAAGTCAATAAAAACAGGCCCGGGTTTTATAAGGCCTTAAACCAGCAGGTAGAGGGCTCAATTCATGGTGTTCGACTTTTGAAAGTGGATGGAAACATTCTATAGGGAGGCATACATCTGAGCTCGTTCAGTGCATGAAGAGGATGTAAGTGAGGAGCTGATGACAGGACCCTTGTGTCAAACCATACATGTTATTTATGTACATGTTATTATGTTATTTATGTTATGTTATTACATGTTACTGTTATTGCTATTGTGTAACTGTCTATTGTCTTATCTTCTGTCCTATTTATATACTGCACCTGAGTGACTAATGAGAAACACTTTTCATTATACTATGCACCTGTGTAAGTTTAATGACAATAAAGTTGAATGGAATTGAATTGAAGCCAGCCTGTGCCCAGCTCTAGGGCTGTACAGGCACCTGCACAGGTGGACTGTGTTTCTGAAGCATGTCAATCTTGCACAACCTGAAGGGATTTCTTCCTGGGATCGAAGGGGTGGTTTAAACTCTTTCTGCATCCTCACAGATGAGGTGTAACTGATTTCCCTTATTTCTAAATGCCTTCTTCCAAAACCCCCCTGTCCATTTTATTTGTCCTTTGCCCCTTGAAAGAGCTGTTAGGTCACTCGTTTTACCTTTAAGGAAATATAGTTTTAGAAATTAAAATACATTTTTAGCCCATGCTGCGATTCTTTATGGGATGGATGGGTGTCTTGATGTGCATCAGAAAATATGGATTTTTGTAGGGTCGGTCACCCGGGGGAACTCTGGGTATTCATCCTGGGGTAAAGCTTTTCATAACTCCTACAGTATGAGATGCTTTTTCCTATTATGTGCCTGAAAATGTGCACGTTTCCTGTGGCAGATCGAGCCAGAGTGCAGGGGATTCATAGGAGTGAGTTATGCAAAATGTAATAAAGCAGTTTTATCATTTGCATTGTGTTTCTGAATATATTATGATAGCCAGAGATTCTCAAGGTTTCCTGTTATTAATGCTTCTGCTTCGCTACACGCTCATCCATTAAACAGGCTCTGACTCTCCCGCTGAAATTATAAACATCCACCTTCACAGAGCTGGCTTATAAACTACAGTAATTCTGTGTAGTTAATTTTTGTATTCTGAAAATATACAATGTTTAATTGACGGTTTGAGAGAGGTACGGTCTAAGCAGCACTCTATTAAAAAGCTATTGCGCTAAAATTAAATTTGTTATTACGTTAATCAAGTCTGGACACGTGGGGTGCACTTACTAAAACCCTATTAAATATGACTTCTTCCTTTGATATTTTGATAATCACCCACACGTTACATTATTAAAAGCACATTAAATTAAACATTTAATGTGTCTTAATAATAAAAGGCCAGTATCCGAATCATCATAGTTTTCAACACGGTATGAAATCTGCATCGTCCTTTACTCTTTTCTTGACCCCAGAGGTACTCAAAGGCTCCCCCGTCTGGATTAGGGACGGCATTACAACAACGCGATCTGACTGCAAGTTTTAATAGCTGCGGAGGGCGTTTCATTTGACACACAAGTACACGCACACATGGCCTTCGAATGTCAGACAGGACCCTAAAAAAATCTACCTCTTTTGGCTGCCAGGCCAGTGGGTCACTTTGATGAGAGTAATTTTACCCTTCAATGTGTAACCTCTTCCTCCTCCTTTCTAAATAATAAATATAATTAAAATAATTACACGTTGAAAGTACACCAGCAGACGGCAGTGGGTTTGAAAAGCACGGGATAACAGAACAATGCTCTCTTATTTTAAACACAAAACTGTTTAATTAAAAACCGAACTGAAAACTAAAGAAAACTAAATTATCTATATTATAAATAGTAGACCCACATTCCAGCGCTGAACAAAACATTAGTTCAAATATGAGTTACCACCCTCAGAACAGTCGGCAGGAACCCTTGCATGCAAATCTATAATATTTTCTGGTGTTAGAGCAAATAATCTAACTACACAAACAAAACAAAAAAAAAACATTAACATCTGTGCCCAAGTGATTAGTAAGTATTTTCCAGCCAGCACTAGCCTGGCTGAAGCACAAATGTTGCTAAATTGAAATGATAACTCAAGTCAAGTCTCACTGTTCACTCTCGCAGTGTAAAGTACTGCACCGTGACTGTCCACACAGCACATTGTTCTTTAAGGTACAAAATCTTTTATTTTTGTTTAAAGGCAATTCCAGTCATAGTGCGAAACACAAACTTAGACAATGATGGATAATGTTATTTCCTCCCTGAAGCTGAGGTTGTTTTTTTTAATTATAATTCCAAGAATAAGAAGATACGAATACAAGAAAGACTGCAAATGAGAGGAGGTAGGTAGCATCTGATCTAGGGATCTCACAAATTCCACAATATTATAATCATCATCATCATCATCATCTTTTGAGAGTCTATGTCTTTGTGCCCTGTGATAGTCTAGGGTGTATGCTGCTTTGTGCCAGTTGCTTGCCAGAATAATAGTAATCCTTAGATTTATATAGTGCCTTTCCAGACACTGCACTCAATCATCATATCATCATCACCTTCATCACAGACCCCATGTGAAGTTCATCCACTAGCGAAGTGTAGCCCTCACCAAGCAGGACACTGGGAGTGCCACAGCACTGTAGTGGGAACTCTGCTGACCACATAGCCAGACACTCAGCTGAACATCTCATCCAAGGGACAGCATCTCCTACAGCACAATGTCCCTGGTTTACATTTCTGGGGACCAGAATTTGAATTGGACATTCGAATCCAAACAGAAGAACACCACCTAATGTTCCACACACAAAAACACACACTTGCAGCAATTGAAACTAGAAGGTTAAAAGTTTATTTAAAATCTCGTATTGGTATTTTACATATTTATTTTGCCTTTCATGAACAACAGTTACAGGTCCCCCAGCTGAATACTGACCAGGTTCAGCCTTACTTACAGTACCTTCTAACATCTGAAAAGAGTTGTTTTTTAGATGTTTTACTAATATTTTGATTTCAACACAAATGAGATTTTTAAGAATGCTAAGAAATGCAACTAGTGTAAAAAGAAAGAGACTTAATTTACCTTCTTCTTTGGAATCTTTATAATAAAAGTTCATCTGCTACATACTGTATGCTCTGTATTTATTACATGTATCTAACGATATGTTTCTGAGCATGATTTATGCATATGCAGCAGAAACATGCAACTGCTTGTGCTAAATTTTCTGAAATGCAAACAAACTGTCTTCTCATGCTGAATGTCTTCTGTAAGTCATTTTAGGATTATCGTGGATGTTAACACTCATGATACTGCAGAGGGTTAGGCCAGCCAAAAGGCAGAGTTTGGGCCAGATGTTCCAGCATATTGTGATTCAAAGCTGTGTGTATCCCCCTGGCAGGGACTGAATGGCAGGTGATGGTGAGAATTATTGGGAAGACAAGTTTCTGGGATTTTAAGGACACAAGTGAGCCTAATGCCAGTGGCTTATCTTTTGTGGTTTCTTCCACTAAATCTTTTTCATGTTTCTGAAGAGAGGAACCTGGAATCACTTACTAGTGGTCTGAACAACTTACCAACAAAGGACACAACACAAAAACAATTGGAGAGTGACACCAATTGGACTTCCTGTACACACGCAGATACACCGTGCATTATAAATGCGAAATCAGCAGGACTTGCCTTGTAGGAATATAAGAGAAGTACAAAAGAAGCACTTTTGTAAAGAATTATAAGTAATATAAAAGAATCGTAAGTGGGTTTAAAAATCCACCTGTGTACTTAGTGTCATATACGAACTATTATGGAAAATTGCGTTTGGCTTGATTACAGCCGTCAGTATAAATAGTTTAATTTAAATTTGTTCTAAATAGTCCACCGTGCTCGTTGTTTCACTTTTGCAATCAATTTCTAATAACTGTTACACGTAGGACTCTTACTTTAGTATGGCTTATGATATCTTAACCCATAAAGGTGTTCTTTGAAATCGTCCTTCTTCCGTGATAAGACAACGTTTTTTTGTTTAATCTATTACTGTATTTATCAGAAAGTTTTTTAAAGGTCAAATAATGCGCTTCTTAAATGCTACGTTCCGATTATTCCAAGTCTGGGAAACAAAATTTTATCTCTGATAATAGTATTATGAGAAAACACTACCAGGTTGACGCCAGAGACCCCAAGAAAATACCACATTAAATCGTGCCGACAGTTGCGCGTTCACCTGACTCGGTTCTGCCTTTGAGACAGGTGTTTGCGCTGAATAAAACAGCAATTTTTGGGAAGGCCTGAAGACCCAATGGGAGCGCAGGAAGGCGTGGTTAAAGGCGGGGACCAATTGTACCGGCCGCCTTTGGAGCCAATGCACCGGGCGATGGGCGGGGAAACTCCCTCAGGGGGGCGTGTCTCCAGCTTTCGAGCGGACGCTGTGTGCTGAACTCTGCAGAGAGTAATGGCATGAGCTTAGCACTGCAATCAGGGCAAGCTACTGTATACCACGCTGTGGAAAGTACATTACTACTGTGCGAACTTCGGCAAATCTTTTCAAGGCACAAACAGGACTAAGACACACCTGGAGGAGACATATTTACGTTTCAAACCGTGCATCGAAACCCTGTCATCAGCTCAAGATTTCTTTTGTCCATTAAAAAATAAATAAATAAACGGGATATGTTGCTGGACATGTGAATTTAAGGAGTAACTGCTACCCCCCAAAAAAATGAAGCCAACCACTCTGTACTGCTTCGGCTTGCTGTTCAGTTTTGTGATCGTCAGGATCAGCTCATCGCAGTCAGGTGGGTAGGATATATTTGTTCTCGTATCGTGCGCAAGGTGTATTGTTAAATGTCATGCTCCAGCGTGTGTTGTTATTGGGCTGTGAGGTACTGTTGTTTCTCACTAGTCGGGCTAGTAGTTTCTGCGCCGTGTGGAGTCTACAGTTGCTGGTAACGCTGGTCACAGTCTTTATTTCTCACAATCGCCAAATGTGTGATATTGTACATTGTGGACCACAAGTTATGAACGGAATGACAGTCAGTAAATGAGAGCAGGAATGTGTTGTTTTTAAGGCTCTTTCGGCTCCGACACTCCTCTTTCACTACGATGTCGATCTTGATACTGTTTATGCTGTACCTGTTTTTGAGAGACTGCGGGGTTGTGCTATCGCGCCTTGATTATTAGGGGTATGTTAAAGTGCGTCTCGGAGACTCAAGAGAATCAGGATTTTTGGTTTTTTAGAGAATTGGACATGGAGTTCACGCCGCACGTGTCCCGGACACACCGGAGAACTATTGTCCACTCACTCACGTTTTCCCCCCGTGTTTTTTCGTCCCTTGAGCAAAAAGAGGCTTAACCAGTTCGTTTGTGTTTCTTCCCGCTGCCTTCTTGAGCGATTGCACCTGACCTACCGCCTTTCCCGTCGTCAGTGATTTAAAAAATGCCAGCAATTTAAGAAGGACGAATGGAGGTGCTATAAATACGCGATTTTAATAATCGATGCGGTGTTGACGATTTAAATATCTGCGGACTACTATCAGCATCCTTAACGCCGTTTGGTGTTTTACTAGAATTTAGATATTCTTCACATTGTATGGCATCTTCAGATGTTGTTCGTTGTCATATGGTTAATCTGCGTAATGAAACGTAAACATGTATAAAGAACATCTAATTAGTCGTTAACGCCAGTTATTATTATTAATAATTATTAGCTCATAGCTGTCTCGCGTTTCGATTGACGAAGCTATAGTTCCCGTTCAAAGACACCGAGCCTCGACTTGCGCATCTGAAACATTATTTACAGAGCACAACAAAAACTTCTTCGTTCTTTGGGTGTTCAATGGTGTTTATGAGAAGTAAATAAACTAAATTTCGGAAGTAATGTGGCAGTCTGTTCATAACATAATGAACAGATTGGGAAACATTCGAAGTACCCACACAGGACCTGTAACATGCGAGTAATAACTACTGTACATTTTTTTAAATAAATTAGCAAGTAATCGACTAATTAGCACTCATTACTTATTACTCATTTAATGGTTTTGCACCTGAGTGGTGACATATAGTATCTTACGCGTCTCCAAACGTTTGGGATCACAAAGGGTTTTGATACCTTGTTCTGTATTTTCTTTACTGTAGTCTCTGTAGGCACAATAAAATGCACCGTCTGTGCCATATGAAACAGAATTTGGCTGACTGTTAGCTTGGTCTATTGGAGGACCGGGCATTATTACGCTGCAAGAGATCGGGCTGTGCTGTTTAAACAAGTTGAGATATAGTTTTGATTGCTTGGGAGAAACAACCGCATCTCCACACGGTGGTGGTATGATCCGGAGACTCGCAGTCCTTTCGCGCTGTGTACAATCTGAACTCTGCAGCCTGTGGCGTCTCTTGTCTTATACTGTATGTTTCGCAGCTGATAGGATTCAGGCTAAAGGGCAGCCGAGCCTCGCTGAGAGTCATAGGTGTGTGTTTCCCTTGAGATCGTGCGCCGGAGGGTTATTCGCGAATGTGTGTAACTGCAAGGTGTGGAAATCTTGCGTGGGTCAGAAAGTGGAGAAGTTTCAGGTTCTAGCGAAAAGTGCGTCTTACTCACTTCTCAGACAGTGGCATATGCCTGTTCATAATTCTCCCTTATACTCATCTATCTACATTATTATGCAAAGGTGTACTGTATATCTGTATTCAAAACATTCCTCGGAGAACTTCTAGAAAGGAGTTCTTCAATACTTCAGTGAGATTTTGCATCCGTTTACTGTACGTTCAATATTACGAGTTAGCGTTCCGTTGTCTCAAGAATTGTTTAATGAAAAGTAGGCGAGGCGTTCTCCTTTTAATTAAATGGCAGTTCTGCTGTTTCACCCCCTCACGAAAAACAAATCCTCACATTAAGCGAACGTCCTTTTAAAGCGTACTGAACTCTAGAAATGGGTTACAAACGTTGTTAATGATAATAGTGATACTATACTTTTAGCCAAGGACATATTCTGCACGTGTACAATTGGAGCCTTGGTACGTGGTTCATTAGAAATCTCTCCCAAGTCCGCAGCAGGCTCGTTCGGTGTTGTGACTGTCCCTGGACTTAACAGGACTTCACTGTCATAAAGGACATGAGATGACGGGTAACACATTTACAATGTGCCCTTTCGTCTTCTTTATTAATTTTCAGTTCATAAACTGAAACAGAGATAATCTTCGGGATTCCCTGAATTGCTTCTAACTTTATGATTACATTATGATGGGTACTGTTTTAGTAGTGACAGGAAAAATCCATAGACTCAGACGTCTGGGTCTTTCCTTGATTTAATGCGTTCAAGGCACATCACCCCAGGTCTGGCACGTCTTCGCTGGCTCCCCATCACACACCGCATTCGGTTCAAATGTTTACTCTTAACTTATTAAGCCCTACACACCGAATGCCTGCATTGCTTAGCATCTCTCGTTACTCCCCATGTACCAAGCAGGGCTCCTGTTCAGTACTGTACCTTCTGAGAGGCACGAGGGTCTCGGGGCGCGCGCGTTCAGCCGCCTTGCTCCGCTACTCCGGTGCTCAAATCTGAGAAGTGAGACATTTAAAACCTCTTGAACAGGTTTTCAATCCAGACTAAAGACTTACCCCTTTAGTCAGGCTTTTAATCAGTGTTTGCCTTTTCTCCGTCGTCCAACTTTTTTATCTTTGTCTTTAATGCTTTGATTCCGTTTAGACGATATATCTTTTTGTTGCTGTTGTTTTACCCAGTAAAGTGGTCCAAACACTGCCGGTGTACACGAGCACTGAAATACATCCTCGAAATCCCTGAACTGTATATGCTTACGTTCGGTATGCATTTTGCTTTACAGCCGTGGCTTCAGATCCCTGATATGAATATGAAGAAATATAAATGTTGAAACGCACTGCGCGCACTTACGCAAACTTAGGCTGGGATTTGAACTTAATCGTGTGGGTGCTAAACGTCCCCCCCCCCGTGGATGTTCAATCCGTTCTCCAAAGTTTCTCCGTGAGCGCTTGAGCCCGGAGTCGTTGCCCATGGCGGTAGCAGAACCTGTCAAAACCCTGTGGTAGTAGCCGTAACTGAGAGACTGCTACCTCATCTTCTTCGTTTCCCATACAGATGTAGTGGAGGGCGTTTGACAGAAGTCTGTTCGGATGCTTGCTCGTTTCCTTCACGAACCATTCGCGCATTATCGCAGGCTAAGCTGAGACGAGCTCTCTCCAGCATTCGTTTGAACTGAATTAAGTGAGCTAATATAGGTTTAATATAACACGCTGTAAAAAAAAAAAAGGCAGTATCTATGTTATACAAAACTTGACCCCTTGTCTGTTCGGATTAATTTTTTTTTTTTTGCCGAACAGAGCTCTTCATAATATAATAATACGCTTCAAAAGTATGACTACATTTATTTCTGATAGCCGAATTCGAATTTGTTATGCTGGTGAAGGTATGGAAATCACGGCTTGATATACGAACTGCATCAAACCTGTCATGCAAATACGTTATAAAAAAAAAGTTTTTTTAAAACGTGTAGTCGGATTTTAAAAGAGCACGTTTGTGGTAGTTAAGTCAGTATGATCAGTTTTTAGCTTAATGCAGGACATGCGGAATACGCCTATATTAAATTCGATCGTGCGTTAGTCTAACTCTCAAGACCGTAACACAAGTATCTTTAAAGTTGTAACGGTTGAATTTGTTACCGAAAAACGCACTGCACAATCGTAATACCCATTTCCCTTATCTAGTCGCTTCTCTGCCCAACGACACCAGATACCGTATGCAGAAGCCAAAGGTCAAAGGTAACACAACATGTTTACAATACTGTAAACAGGAATTATCGACTAAACTTGATCGATTGCATTTTCCGTTCGTAAAATCCAGAAGCGTCAGACATTTTAACATGGATTCACATTGGTAATAAGCAAGGAAACGTGTCTTTTCAGCCGATATTTTGGTACGTTTGAGCTTTCGTTTGTTTTACGTAAGGCGTTCTTGATGCATTTTAAAGCATGCTATATAAATGACTGAAGTCACATGTTCAAGTGTAGGTTAAATATAAACGACTAGCTAATGCAAAGAAAGTTTAGCAATGCTTTGAGATGGCATTTTAACTCGGTTAATGACTGCACCACTAATCTGTGTTGTTGTGTGCTGCTGGCCAGATTCTCTCCTGTCTTCAACAATGCGATTCACCCTCATGCTCTGTGCAGTATCTGATAGTCATGCCCTTTCCTATTATTCAGAGTGGCCCTATCCCAAAGGCCGCAGGAATACACCAGGCGACAGATATCGCATGTTACCCAACGAGGCTGTACAGTACATGTATACCGTTATATACATGTACTGTAAGTGCTGTTTTTGCAAAGACGGTCATCGCACAAAACTAATATCTCTCTAAAGTACTGCTTCACACGTGAACGACACTCTTCACAGCAGAGCACAGCAGGATAGGGAACAAAGCGTCGCTTGAGACGGCAGTGTTCTCGGGGGGGAATACCACCAAGGCAGAATAAAACAGTTACACGTATTTTAAATTGCAACGTAGGAAGTTGTCTGCCCTCACCCGCAGGTACACATCAGTACAGGAATGCGGGCAGACGAAATCGATTTATTTTAAAAATCAAAATATCCTGATAATCGGAGCACAGCCGTCATCTTTGCCCGATAGTCCCAGTGCGCGTGTAGTCTGAATATATAGTACGGTGTGGTTTCACTTTCCAAAGAAGTCTGGGCTTCAGATCAAGGAAGAGGCGTGTGATGATTTATACTGTATATACCCATACTTCAGTGGAAAATTGTAGGCTTAC